AAGGACCGTTTACTTGCTTGAGCTGGAAGAGAAGTCTGATTTTGACTTGAAGGACTATGTTGGTGATGCTGGCACGTGTATCCACTTTCACGTCCGAATGAATTTTGCCAAATTCAAGATCCCTTTGCGGAATGCTGATAAAGCCATCCATGCAATGCGTAATAGGAAAGGTAGAACTAAAAGGAAACCTTGCATTAAGTTGGAGCCATTGGATCACAAATACATGTATGTGAATTCGTGTAATGGCTTGGTTTTCTTGGCTGAAACATTCTACAACGACCCTTTTGTTGTGTGCAATCCAATAACGGGTGAATTTATACAACTTTCTGAAGCTTCCAAGGATGAGAGTCGAGAGAGATTATCTGTACGCTGTGCATTAGGTTACAGTCCGAAGACTAACCAATATAAGGTGTTGAGAGTCTTTAGTCAAGGAACACCCAATCTAGTTCGGATGGTTGAGTTGTACACACTTGGGCAGCGTTCATGGAAATCTCTTGGTACTGCTCCCACGTCGGCAGCATATATGCTATTGACATTGCCCAGCTATCTGAATGGAGAGCTTTATTGGTTTTACTATGAGAGTTCATATGAGATAGCGTCTTTTGACTTTGACAATGAGCAATTTCACTCAGTTCCAACACCTCCTTTTGAACTGGAGGAATGTCAGCATGTGAGCTTGGGACTTTTGGGAGGTTCTCTTTGTGTATGCTATGCTCATGAGAATTGTATCAATGTGTGGGTAATGGAAGATTACGGTACACAAAAATCTTGGACCAATAGATTTTCTATTAAGACTGATGATGGTGTGTGGTGGCCAAATGGATTATATGAACCAATGATATACTTAAAAAATGGGGGTTTGTTGATGTTTAACCATTCTACTGTCACTTTGATTTACTATCACCCAAGAAACTACAGATCGTTAATTTATCTTAAGCTTCGTGGGTTTAGTCCATATTTTGAAGCAATTAGTCATGTTCCAAGCTTCATTTCTCTCAAGGACATTTTGATGGGCAATGATGTAGAAGTACTCAATATAAATTCAAGGTATGGTTGTTATGGTTTTCAATATATTTTTACCTTTGAATGGTTAACTTAATGTAGATTTGCTGGATTTGTGGTAGTTGGTTTTTCCTTTTCCTTTTTTGGTTCAGCATGCCCTAATTACCTCTTATGAAGAGTTGTATCTTAAATATTGCTTAACATCAGAAGAATTTATGTGTGGATGAGTTTGTTTGCTGTTATGATCCAAAGATTCATTAGTATTTCAGCATATTTGTAATTTGTTTCCGGAGCTGTTTGAACTACGTCGTCGATGTTTTGGATTCAGTCTTCAATCGTACATGAATTGAATTTTATTCTTTGTTGATTAGAGAATGGCCAAGTGTTTCTACTTTATTGGCACATGTAAATTGCATACATGCACATGCACGCGAATTTTTCTAGCGTTGGTCCTATTTTTTTCTGTTTGGTTGGAATTCATTACTTCATCTCTCTCTCTCTCTCTCTCTCTCTCTCTCTCTCTCTCTCTCTTAATTAATGACACAGTCTACCATAAATCTTTTATTTAAAACGTTGGTCCTAATAGTGCATTTTTCATTTTAAAAACGTTGGTCCTTATATGCATGAAACGGACGTTTGAGGAAGTAGGGTTCACTGTGTCGTATTCATACATATGGTGTTGAGATTGCTTTCACGTATCTCCTTGTTGCTGTAGAACCAGGGCAAGATGTTGCACAATTTTTTCATAGTTAAGCCATTAAGAGACAATATCATCTTACCACTCTGTCTGCATTTTGCCCATATAAGAAAAGTTCTGTACAGGAGTTGCTGCAATGACAAAATTCCAACATTGCACATACTGGTGTTTATACAGCAGTAAACTTGAAAAGAGAATAATGATAGCAACCATTGCTTCTTTCCGTTTTGTTTTTCCCTGAATGGCCTTATAAAATTTGAGTATTGTACCTTAAATGTCAGAAATGTTGATGCAGGTGTGCAGAGTGCAAGCTTCCCGGAGAGACTAGAGGTCTTGATTTAGTGAATTTGGATGCAGACGTGGCATCAGATGATCGTTCTTTTAAGGAATTTAGAATGAAACAGGGATTCTACCGGTGGCAATAATGCAGCCTTACAGTGGGCTAAATAACTTCTCATGGAGTGGCAACTTTCAACCTACATCTGGAGGGTTTGAGTTTTTGAGTTTGAGTCAAATACCCTGAACCTTGCTTCCCCTCTAACCTAAAGTTACTAGCTAATGCAGTGTTGTAAGTTACTTTTTTATTTTTGATGTATTTTTATTTTCTATAATAGTTTTGGATCAGAATATTAGTGGTCATGTCTTTGGAAGGACACAAAATAAGACTTGGCTTAGTAAGTGTTCTTATCATCTATAGCTTTGTTGATTTTGAAATTTAAAGAGATTAATTATCTAGGCCATATATCCCTCAAACAGAAATAAATTACTCCAGCCAGACACAATATTCATTACAGTAATTGCTGGAAGATTCTGTTTCCTTATTGCTATCTAGTGCCTCGTGTTTTAGGTATCTAATGTTATGTCCTGATAGACTTGTATTTAATTATTTTCCCAGCATAAACTGTAAATACTAAACCCTAAACTCAGAATGTTTAACTCTTAGAAGCACAAAATAGGTTGGATATAAAAACAATGAGACAAGCACCCAAAACATAAACATAGGATCCTATTTCTTTCTATTTTAGGGATCAAATTAGGTGTTATTGATGGTGGTATGTTTATTTGTTTATTTAATAATTTTAAGCAAACAATACCTCCTTTTCCATTTATGCAAAGAAGAGACTAATAAAGGGTAAACAGGCAGGAGATATTCAAATTATAGCTTTGCCCGTATTCGTAATTGAAATACACTCCCCCACTAATAATTAGTCAAACTCAATTAGAGGAGCTAACTGGATGTTTCTCGTATAGTCTTCGTCTAGATATAATCTTTTACAAGTTATAAACATTGACATAGAGAAACTTAGAGATGGTTGCATTTGTCTTGATGGCATTCTCTCCTCATCAAAGGCAACCGAGGGCAGGTCTCTTGGAGTTTTGACCCTTATTATCCTGGTGAAAAAATAAAGATTGGCGTAATTTTTTAATGGAACTGAGAAGCCATCTGTATTTCTTCTATGGAAGCGATAGCGGCAATGTGTAGAACTGATAGAGGGAAGGATGCAGAATTTTAGGAGAGAGTATCTTCCATTGATAATAGAATAGTAAGGATAGCATGGGCAAGTCTTATTTGGCGATCCCTATTGCGAAAATCTTATTTGTCTGCAGCTGGGTGCATTTATGGAGGATGATGAGAGGCCTGGGTTTGGATGGGAGTGAGAAATTACCAGTTAAGTTAGTGAAGCAGTGGAAAGGACTTGATGAGAAGTAGAGGAGAAGAGAGAACCAGTACAAGGCCGGTTTTGTTATGTCATTATTCAAGTTTGTAAATTGAGTGACACCTTGGCCAACTTTAAAAGAGAATTTTTAATGTACAAATGTTAACAAATTTTAATCACAAATATCTGCTTGAAAACAATGTTCCAAGTCTTAACTTACTTCATATTGATAGTGGATTTTCTCTTGCTGGCATGGCCCCCCAGTTTTCCCCTTGATGGGTTTTCTGGGTTAACAAATCTTACAAAGTTGGCACATCCAAAAATATTTACTTTGAGTTGCGCTGCTAAATTGGTATTCACACTAGATGTGATCAGTATTTCTTGATATTTTCATAATGTTTCTTATCTTCAGTCCTTTGTGGAAACAAAGAAATGACTGACTGTCACCGCAAGTTGATATTCTCTTTATAGGAATGTTATACTACAACTCATTAGTTGTTACTTCAAATAGTCAGGGTTATTCTTTGCATTGAAAATGTTATAACTGCAGCTTTGGAAAAGTTTATAGCTGTTATTTGAAATCTTCCTTTGATTTGCACTTATATTTTGGTGGTTCAAATTATTTAGGATAATTCCTGATTTTAGTCAGTTAGGTGGTATACATTTTCTTTTTCAATTAAGATTTTCCTATTGTAGCTAGATTTATTTATTTATTTTGAGAATAAGGTAGATTTCATTCCAATAGAAAGTAGAAACATGGGGCGTGTTTGTCGTGGCCTCGTTAAAATCTTGGCGGAGAAAAACACATGGGAAAAACCCCGGGGTAGGAAAGAGTACCATACATGCCAAAGGAGTACAAATCCAAAATCAAATTACAAAGTATCAACTAGCAGAACATCCTGAAGGAAATCCGGATGCCTTAACAAGGTGCCCATTAGCAGCCCTCCCCGCATGCCTTAACCAATAGTGTTTTACAGTCTTCAATTAAGCATCCTAGGTGGGACAAATCAGCTGGGCCATTTGGCAGCAAAGAATAAGCCTTCTCTTACTGCCTGTAACTTGGCATGCATGGAATTTGAGACACCATTGAGCACTACCAACTTGCAAGCAAGAAAAGAGCCTGCATGGTTTCGAGCCATAAACCCAATTCCACCAAGACGTGATGCAGCGTGAACAACCCTATCTGCATTGATTTTTACATCCCCCAGTGGCAGCTGCTGCCATTTAGCTTTGACCTGTGAAATGTTGCACTTTGGAGCTTAAAGGAATTTTCCGTATGCAGTTCACCCAAAAACATCTTTGGGCTTTGGGGTTTTGATTTGTCTCTGGTGATGATCGATCTGTGGAGAGGAAGGTGGATATGGTGGGATAAAGGAGAAGAGACGAAGGAATGGCTCTTCATGGTAGGAGAATGGGGATTTAAATGTAGAGCGAAATGGGGCCTGTTCGTACAATAACCACTCTCATTGTTTCCTCCATTAACATTACTCTCTAGCTTGTGATTTTATAAGCTTTGTTCAAATCTTGTTGCTTTGAATGGCCCACTGGCTTTTTGAGGTGTTTTTCTGATAACCCAGTTGCAAATGATGACGTTTCTCAATGTTGAGTGCTTGTTTAATTAAGGAAATGTTCTGTTAATATATTGGTTCAGCTCTTGAGTACACTCCTGGTCAGAGTAGGAAAATGGAGGAATCAGTTTGGATTCGAAAAGCAGCTGAACCGGTTGAGCTCATTAGATTGGTAAGATGCATTTTGAGTGTTTTGGTGGTACATCTGTTGGATTGAAGTGGTAGAGCGATTTGTTGTAACTTTTTTAATTTAACGGAGGACTCTTTCTTATGTTCAAAAGGTAAAGGCACTAAAGAAGGAGCTTTGCAGAGAGGTAGTGGTTGAATTGAACAGCCTTTGAAACTGAAGATAACCAATGAGATAGTTGAGAGGCTGAAAACCTTGAGGCCCAAATCAAATGTTACTGAGCAGAGAGGTCAGTGCGCCTCAATTTGATTTCTTTAGCTTATCTTCTTTTGTTTTCTGTATTTCAAGGCAATTTTTGTTTTGCACTAGAATAGTTAATCGTCATGCAACTGTGCATACTCCGTTTAAACCACAAAGCAGCTTACAGTGACTGACAAATCTGTCCTTGAAATTTATAAGATTATGAATTTATGTTTTCTTCTTTATTGAGTTTTAGTGTATGATATCTGAAACTAAATTTCTCGACATTGGTGACAGACTCTGAAAGCTTAGGAAATATTGTATTGTGCGGCTTTAGTGGGGTCAATATATAGAGCATAATTGATGCCAGTCGTCCTCCTCTTTTCATCATATATAGTCAACAGAAATTTCCTTCTACATCCTTTAATTTTCTTTTTCAGCAAGATTGGCACTTTGTTCTAATATTCAGTGCTTCTTTCACTTGTACCTTACAAGTTTGTAACATATTCTGCTTAACAATGAAATGCTGCTAAGGCTTTACTTTTACTCATTCTGGAACCTAATTGCATGTAAACCCACCCATATTTTCCTTCTAAACTGCTGTTCCCATTAATTTGTTGAAAGATGGTGCAAGGAAAAACTAAAAGAAGCTAAGCAGTTGGCTCTTGAGACAGAGTTATCAAATTCCACAGTTCGTCATGAGGAAGCGGGTGTGGTCATTATTTGTGAACTGTTGTATGGTTCTTTTTTGGTTAAAATAATCTTATTTGTCCATGATGCAGAAACCCCCCAAATTCACATTTTATTTTCCTTTACAAAACTCCAGATGTCATGATACTTATCTGCTAGTGTTGAGAGATTTATTATTATTATTGTTCTGTTAGAGACTTATTCCATATGTTGATGTATATATTCCTTTTTCCTCTCTAAAAGATCAAATTTTGCCTGGCAGGCTGCCTCCACCTGAATGCCATGCGGAAGTTCATACAGATTATGATGAATCTCTAAATTAAGATACAAGCCTTAGCTTTAGCTCTTCACCGGTTAGGGTTTGCTTGCATCAAGCTAAACGTGCCAAGCCTAATGAAAAGAGATGTAATATATGGGTATACTGCCCGTTTGAAAGCGGTTGCCATTTTCCAGATATCTATGGACATAGACTTGGACAGTGCTGGCTGTAATACGTAAGAATTAAACCTATTTACTACAATTGACACATTCATTACTTTTTCCTTTAATCTGAGTTTCGTCCAGATGAGTCTCAATTATGTGGATCCAATCCAGTCTAATATTTCTTGCTTTCAATTACCAAAATGCAGGCAGAAACGCTGAAACTCAATTTTAAGGACAAGTATCCTGAATCATACAGAAACTCCCATCCATCTGTACCACTCGTTGTTCCTTGGGCCTTTGGCATTGTTGGTCCATGATAGGATTTCACCCCAAAAAAAAGGACAAACCCTTGTCATTGCAATGTGACCTACGAAGGTACCAATGTTTTGAAAATATCAAAAAACACATGCAGATAGCTTCACTGGAATCTATAATCATGGTCTCCCTGGGTTTATATACTTTCGTTCCTTTCAAATTGTTTTGTAGAAAATAGAAGAAATAGGGAAAAATTCTTTGTAAGAGAGAGTGGAGTGGAGTCGATGAAGGTTAAGCTATGCCCCATGCTTGATTGTTCACATGTCATTTTTTGTAATACGGATTGTCATCGTATTGGCGCTGACGGTTCAAGGTGAAGAAGTCTTGGTCGGAGGAAAAGTGAGCTTTGTTGTTGGACGTTGAAACTTTCCCTGTGAATTGTACTCTCGTCTTTTCTCTAGGGGATCGGTACAGATATTCACTTTCTTGTTTCTCAAGTATCTTTTGATTTGTATCTTGGAGAAGATGAAGATGTATGTAAAAAAATAAATTAAATTTCCAAATACTAAAAGCTCGAACAAAAATTCTTTCCACAAATTACCACAGTACAAAATTGAGGGGTTGCAAATCTGCTAAGAACTAACTAATATCTCGACCGAAAAAAAAAAAAACCTAAAACCTAAGTAATACAAAATTAAAAAGAAATAAACAAGAACACCAGTAGAGCCAGTACTAGCTTCAGCTTTCCCATTGATAGCTTGGAACTCGAGCCACCATTCACATCTAAGTGCAAGATTGGATGAGGAGGGTCTGAGTTGAAAGTTGGATGAGGGGGGATGCTCTGCTCGTTCCTGAAGAAATTTGCTGGATCAACAGCAGTCTTCACCTTCACCAACCTATCAAAGTTGTCATTGAAGTACTTCAAGCCATACACCTTCCCCTGTTCATAGCTTATATTACCAAATTTATTGACACCAATCTCAAGGTCCCTGTAATTCAAGAATGCACTCCTTGGGTTCTTGGACACAAATGGCGTCATGAACCTGAAAAGCCTCCTGGTGTCTGTGGTATAATTCTTCTCTGCTTCAGCCTCTGCTTCCCCCCAGCTCACTGAGTACTGAACTTTGAACAAGTTCCCGGTGCGGAAAAGGGGTGGCAGAGGCCGGAATCCGACTCATCATCCCATCAAATGGATTGAAAACCAAACCTATTTTGCCTATTTCAATCATCTTCTTCCACACTAACTCCAACCTACTTTTGGAAATTGGTGTTTGAACATAATCAGACTTTCTTTTGAGGAAATTTGCATGATCAGGATTTCTATCAAGCAACACATCAGGGGAGGTCCCATTATCATAGTTAGCCCACCAAAGCACAGACTCAATCCAGCTCATCTCCTTACAGTCATCCTTCTTCAAACCTAACTCAGGAAACTGCTTCCCCAACAATGACACAAGTTGGTCAGCATTGCCTAGAAACTCAGCCATAATTGTGGCCTTTACAGTGTCGCTCCCTGGCTGCGACAGCAGCCTCATTAACAGACCATCATCTGTGGTTGGCGCCACCTCTTGCCACCTCGAAACAACGTCGGTTGCATTCTCTTCCAACGTTCTCGCATCCTGGAAAACTGTGACAGTTTCTGGGACAGAAACCAGCTTCAATTTGTATGCAACAATGACACCAAAGCTTCCTCCACCCCCTCCTTTAATGGCCCAAAACAGGTCTTCTCCCATGGCTTTTCTATCAAGAAGTCTCCCCTTAGCATCAACAATCTGAGCATCAAGGACATTGTCAACAGCAAGGCCAAACTTCCTCAACATGTTTCCATAGCCACCGCCACTTATGTGCCCACCAATACCAACTGTGGGACAAACACCAGCAGGAAAGCCATGAACTTTGCTCTTCTCTGAAATCCTATAGTACAATTCTCCAAGAGTGGCTCCAGCCTGAACCCAAACCGAGCTGTCCTCAATGTCTACAGTCACAGTCCTGAGGTTGAACATATCAAGGACAATAAAGGTCTGATCAGACCAGTAAGAAAGGCCCTCATAAACGTGCCCGCCGCTTCGGATTCTCAGCTGCATGCCAAGCTGTTTGGCACAGACAACAGAAGCTTGAACATGAGATGAAGCTGCGGGTGTGACGATGAGGACTGGTTTTGGGGTTGAAGTGGTGTTGAACCTTGAGTTTCTGATGTAGGCTCTTAGAACAGATGAGTATGAAGGGTTGTTTTCGGCATAGATTATGTTGGACAATTGGGTTGATGATGGGTTTGTGTTGGTGTTTAGGCATTGAAGAAAGTTGTCATAGACAGAAGTTGAGGCTGCCCATGAAGCAGAAACATGAAAAACCAGGAGAACAAGTGAAAGCATCATCATCCTACGCATTGCTTCTCTCATTATCTTTGTCAATTTGTTGTATTTTGTATGTTGTAAGGTTTTGGTCCTCCTATATATATAAATACTTAGAGACCTGTTTGTTGAGGGAATTGTCAACTGTAGAAATTTAAAATCATTCCTTGGCACAATGGGAAGGTTTTGTGTTCCTTTTTTCCATCAACACTTTTTTTTAGTACCTTTCCTAATGAAAGGATTCATCTTTATCATGTCTAGCGTTGATAGGAAAACCAAAAAAATATATTTTCGCTATATTCTGGAAAAAGAAGAAAGGAAATTGGCCTTTTAAATTTTTTATTTTTTATTTTTATAATATATTTTGTTTTTAGGATATGGTGGGAAGGAAATTAAGAACAAAGGGGGGCGTTGGGTACCTTTAAAAATAAAACCAAAACGACACCGTCTCTCACCCATGCTCACCGTTTCATGACCCATGCCATGCATGCAGATCCCTCTTTTCCGCCCAAGTTGAACCCTCGCGTACATTAGGTGCCAGACTTGATCTCTCTCTCTCTCTCTCTCTCTCTCTCTCTCTCTCTCGATATTATATCACCGATTTACGCTGAAACTTGTTAGTAATAGGAAAAACATGATGGTACCCTTTATTTATTTTAGGCTTAAGTGCTACAGTATCCTTTGAAATATTGGTCAATTCTCACTTTACGCTCTCAAAGTTAAAATGACCCACTTTACCCCCTTGACCGATGTTTTGTCTCACTTTGCCCCTCACCGTCAAGTCTGTTAAAAATTCTGTTAAAAAGACTGATATGGCACCAATGGGACCCACTATTTGGCTAAACTAAGTGCCTTGTGTGAAAAAAAATATTAAAAATTAAAAATTGTCTTTTAAAATTCTTAATTTAACTATTAAAAATAAAATTAATTCTTTAAAACAAAAAAAATTCCCAATTCCCCTTCGCCAACCCCATTATCCCTTCACAGCCGCCATCACCACAATTACCACAACTGCAGCTCTCTCTTCCTTTCTCACAGACCCAAGTTCCACCCCTGAAATTTTGTGTTGAATTCGTTACCTCACCAACTTCAACATTTGATACATCTCTGCCTCAATCCAACATCTTCCACTTTTAGCAAGACAAAACAAAGATTCAATTAGACTTTCTATGCATGCCAAGGCCCTAATCTGTTACACCAATTTTAGAAACATGGG